ACCTACAATTAATTTTGTAAATACGTTAGTCAAAAGACACACACACACACACAGAGAACATGGTTATTCATGATCAAACTGATTCGAACTATATAGCGTCTGTTTTATTGGCCTCGTCACTTGGGATCATTATTATAGACTTGATAGCACCCCGCTGTTACCTTCACCAGTAAATACTGGTAAGAAAGGCCTAGATAGGAACTTTGATGGTTTAGTCGTGACCCAAAGTCACGAGTCTACAGCAAGACCAGACAAGACGACCTGCATATCTGGGTGGTCATCGTTTTTAACCCTTGCCGAATATTACTGTAATTATAAACTTCAACTTGGTGACTCGAGGAACTTATTAGCAATCGAACAGAAATAATCGATAAAAAAGAAGAGAATACCAGCCGTGTTAGTCATGCCACTACTTTACTGTTTGAGGTTGTTAATGTTCACAATAACCCAGCTTGAATATTAGACACGTTGTTTTCGTAGTTACACTATTGTTTCACGTTGTTAATGTTCACAATAACCCAGCTTGAATATTAGACACATTGTTCTTGTAGTTACACTATTGTTTCACGTTGTTAACGTTCGCAGTAATCCAGCTTGAATATTAGACACGTTGTTCTTGTAGTTACACTATTGTTTCACGTTGTTAATGTTCATAGTAACCCAGCTTGAATATTAGACACGTTGTTCTTGTAGTTACACTATTGTTTCACGTTGTTAATGTTCACAATAACCCAGCTTGAATATTAGAAACGTTGTTCTTATAGTTACACTATTATTTCAGGCGGGTGCAGAAGTATAGAGAGACTGGCTATGTGAAGCAGCGGAAAGGAAAGGATAGAAAGAAAGCTTCAACAGCAGCTGACGATCATGTTTTGAAATGCATGAGCCGGCAGAATCGTCGACTATCGTCCACAGATCTCATGTAAAGAAACTTCAATGGTTACTGTTACCGTCTGGTCTCTCCTGTTGTTAGCCGGTCTCCCATGAAAATCGCCAAGAAATAAGCCTCCTCCTCACCAACAATATGAGGAATATGAGGCTTAACTGGGACGGAGAGCCTGCTGACTGGACTGAAGCAATGTGGAGAAAAATTATTTGTCAGACGAATCAAGATTCAATCTGCACGAGTCTGATGGAAGCACTTTGTAGGAAGTCTATGTGGAGAGGAGTTTCATCCAGTGTGTTTGAATACAACTGTGAGATATCCGCAGGATCAATTGATATGATGATGCATCTCTGGCCAGAGTGTGGGATGCCTGCATTTTGTGAATGGCACTGTCAATGTCGAAAACTCCATTGAGATCCTCGAGTCCCGATTAAAGCCAACAACAGGGCTATAAAGGTTGGTAATATCCATACACTCTATACAGTAAACGTGAAATAGAGAGGAGATTCTACTCTAAGCGTATTCAAAGGGAATCTGGATTTTTTGTTCTTTTCTTCAGGTAAAGAACTATCTTCAAAGGGAAAAGATTAAGACACTACGCTGGCCGGACAACAGCCCAGATCTCAATAGTATCGAAAACTTCTGGAAAGTAATGTATAACAAAGTGCAAGAGAAGAAACCGAGAATCACCTTGGAACTGCAGGAGGCCCTTCTCTGAGTGTTAACTCACCCCTGCCTACATTCAGTCCCTCTGCAGGAAGCCCTTCTCTGAGTGTTAACTCACCCCTGCCTACATTCAGTCCCTCTGCAGGAAGCCCTTCTCTGAGTGTTAACTCACCCCTGCCTACATGCAGTCCCTCGTGCACTGTATACCACGCGATATCAAGCAGTTATCAAGGTGAGAAGGGGCATAACCAAATATTAAAACAAGAAACAGACACTTTCCGACAATTACACTAGTGACGTTATCTTTAAATTTATGTTTTCTTACTCAGAAAAAAAAAATTCTTATTTGCCAAGTTTTTGTTGATCATCTGCTGTAACACATTTGTTGCAGTTGGTTTGTTATGTCTATGTGTGTTTGGATGATTGAAATATGAGTCAGCTTACAACACACAATGTCCATAACAGTCTTACACTAGTGCATTGTGAGAGTGTGTGATTGTAAAATAAAAAATAAAAAAATGGGGTGATGCAATAAATTTTTCCACCACTGTGTACGTATACACTTTTCTGCATTTCTTTCAACACACTTTGATGATGTTCACTACGACGGCTGATAAAGTTTTGATTAACTGGTAATAAAGATAAATTAACACGTCTGAGCGAAGATTTTTTTCTAGTTTATTTTGTGCTTATTAGCCTAATTCCATTGTAACACGGTCTTTACTGTCTAACGAAGGGCGTCTGCTCGATACGTCGCACAAAGTAAACTAGAAAAAGTTTTCATTTAGACGTGTCAATTTATTCTTTATTGTCATTTATAAGAATTTTTTTGTCATAATTGCAAATTCAATAAAACATAACTATTTGACAAGATAGAAGATAGAAGATGGGGGTCTAAATAAGTGTTCCTACGACAATAAATTCTCAGTTCTTGGAAGCAACACTCATTAAAAAAGTTTTTATTAGCTGACTATAAATATGGACTTATTTCACGAAATACTTTCTTGATTAAACATAGAACAATTTAACTCAAATTCGACCTGATTTTACTAGTGACTGTAAGTAGATAAAGGGGTCTTAACTTATTAACCTAAGAAGAAAACGACATTTTACTACTAAAATATCTCACGTCTTAATACTTTTTGGCTACGAAATGGGGAGGTTAGAGGTTCATGTTCATACAGATACCGCATATAGGCCACAATGCAGCAACAAATAAGCTTATTCGAGTCTTCTTCGGCCATCTTTACGTGTAGAACTCGCAAAAAACACTGGCTTTATAGAGCTGACAAACCTCATCTTGTACTGCTCAGTTTGTGAAGCCACCGCAGTGTTTTGAGTGAGATTTTAGATTTGCTCACTTATTATAGCCCGGAAATTAAGTGATTTCCGCTACGTTGTGGGTAATTCAGATTCAAGATAACGCAAGAAATTCAAATCTCTATTCAGAAATGTTTTTCTTTTCTCAAAAGGAGTACCAGAAAGCTTTCATTGGGAATCAACACATGAAATATGTCTCCCTGACTGACAGACTGGTGTTAAAAGCAAACGTATCAACACATACTGATTGATTGATTTCTGTCCTTATCTTGAGCCCGTTCTTTTCTTGATTATTTTTTCTGTCCTTATTCTGAGTACCTTCTTTCTCAATTCTTTATTTCTGTCCTTATTTTGAATCCGATCTTTTCTGTCGATATTTTGAATTCGCTCTTTTCATTATTTATTTATTCCTGTCCTTATTTTGAGTCTGTTCTTTTCTTTATTTGTTGCCCCCCCCCCAGTGGCACAGCGGTATGTCAGCGACTTACAACGCTGGAAACCGGGTTTCGATACCCGTGGTGGGCAGAGCACAGATAACCCTTGTGTAGCTTTGTGCATAATTAAAAACAAGCAAACAATCTTTATTTGTTTATTTTTGTCATTATTTTGAGGCAGCTCATTTCTTGATTTATTTATTTCTGTCCTTATTCCGAGTCCGTTCTTTTCTTGATTTGTTTATTTCTATCCTCATTTTGAATTCGCTTTTTTATCCAATTGTTTATGTCTGTCTTCATTTTGGGTCCTTTTTTTACATATTTATTCATGTCTTGATTCTGGGTCCGTTCTTTTTTTGACATGTATATTTCTGTCCTTAATTTCTAAATTCGTTTATTTCTGTCCTTATTCCAAGTTCCTTTCCTTTCTTTATTCGTTTATTTCTGTCCATATTTTGATTTTGTTCTTTTCATCAATTGTTTATTTTTGACAATATTTTAAGTCCAATCTTTTCTTCATTTGTTTATTGATGTCTTTAATTTGAGTCCGTCTTTTTTTGATTTGTTTATTTCTTTCCTAATTTTGAGTCTGTTCTTTTCTTGATTTGTTTATTTCTGTCCTTATTTTGAATTCGCCTTTTTTCTTTATTTGTTTATTTATGTCCTTATTTTGAGTCTGTTCTCTTCTTGATTTGTTTATTTCTGTCCTTATTTTGAGCCTATTATTTTCTTGATTTGTTTATTTCTGTCATTATTTTGAGCCTGTTATTTTCCTGACATGTTTATTTCTGTCCTTATTTTGAGCCTATTATTTTCTTGATTTGTTTATTTCTGTCATTATTTTGAGCCTGTTATTTTCCTGACATGTTTATTTCTGTCCTTATTTTGAGCCTGTTATTTTCTTGATTTGTTTATTTCTGTCCTTATTTTGAGCCTGTTATTTTCCTGACATGTTTATTTCTGTCCTTATTTTGAGCCTGTTATTTTCCTGACATGTTTATTTCTGCCCGTATTCTTAATCCGGTCTCTTCTTGATTTCTTTTTACCAACCTCGTCTAGACTCACGCCATGGGTTATTACTTTAACGCTCGCTTCCGTAGTTTGTATACGTCTCGTTAGCACTTGGTTACACCTCTAGGTCTCTAGTCGTATTTTCTTGAACCGAGCACGGCTCCAGTAGTTAGCGTGCCGGACTTGGATCTGAAGTTTCGAGATTCACCTCCCATTACCGTAAACAGAAAAGAAAACTCACACTCCGCACTTTCGACTATAGGTGCGTTATAAGAGTGACGGTCAACCCCAACCATTAAGAATAGCCTAAGAGTTGGCGGCAGGTGGTGTTGACTAACTGCCTTCCCTATATTCTACCACTTCACAAATACAGGCGACTAGCACAGATATCCATCGACAATTCACGTCATAAGAAGGATAGGGAACCTTCCACCCCTCTTAACAATAACACGTATCGTTTATAGGAGGAGTTCTTATTAAGAATTAACTTTTTATTGTTATCTTTTGCATAATAATGGAAGATGAAGCAACATCACAAGAAGAAAAAAATCGCCAACACTTCGAGGAACTACTTAATCTCGCCTTCAAAGACAACCACTTCGTTTTCAACGGTCAACTATATGACCAAATAGATGGCGTGACGACGGGGTCACCTTTAGGACCGACCCTCGCCAACATATTTCTTTTTTCATTATGAGCGTTCCTGGCTAGACACCTGTCCAGCAGAGTTCAAACCAAAACTTTATAAAAGGTATGTTGACGATACATTTCTACTCTTTAGAAACCATAATCACATCAAAAAGTTTCTGGACTACCTAAATGCTAAGCACCCAAACGTTAATTTTACCTGCGAGATTGAAAACAACGGTAAACTACCTTTCCTCGACGTCTTAATTAAAAAATTAGATAACCAGTTTACAATATCTATCTATCGTAAGGAAACATATACAGGACTACATACTCGTTTTGATAGTTTTATTCCTAACTCTTTTAAAAGTAACCTCATCCTAAATCTCCTCAATAGAGCATACAACATCTGTTCTAACTATTTCTCTCTCCATACTGAAATCACTTCCCTACAAAACATCTTAACAAATAACGGTTATCCACTCCATTTTACCCAAGCTATAACAAACAAATTCCTTTCTGAAAAACACGAACCCTCCAAGAAACCACACGCTGTTAACAAATTCCAATTACGTTTGGTCACTCCCTTCCTAGGAAAACAATCTAACATAATGAAGATCCCAATTGTAAGATTAATTAAAACATTTTACCCACAAATCCAACTACAAATGATATTTAAAACATCCTATAAATACAAAACGTATTTAAAACAAAGGACCGCTTACCTACCCCCATGCATTCAAAACTCGTCTACAAATATACGTGTGGTGGTTGTAATGCCACTTACATTGGTAAAACCACACGCCAATTACACCTACGAGTTTGTGAAACATATGAGAATATCGAGTAGGACTGGTAATAAACTATCAAATCCACCTGAATCAGCAATCCGCTTACATAGTGAAAATAACAACCACCCTATTCTGATTAACAATTTTAAAATAATTTCGACCGGTTCATCCAACACGGAACTTCTCATCAAAGAAAGCTTGTCCATTTTAAACGAACGCCCCACTCTAAACAATAACACAACATCTTTACAGCTAAGCCTATTATAAATATTCCTAGCACATTGTCAACTATGCAGTGTTATCTTTATACCTCCCCTTCTTTACCACACTAGTTTCGTAATATAATTGTTAGAATTTTGTTATTTCCTCTTTAAATCGTGCTGGTTGTTGTTGTTTTAGATTGTTTGTTTTTCTTTCGTCTTATGCTACTATAAATGTTCCAACTAAATGAATATGTGTATTTAATACTATCGATTAATTAATACAG